GTCGTTGAATAAATGTCAGATGCGGAGATAAAACAGAGCCAGAAACGACCCCTGGTTAGACCGGTTTTATACATTTGTATATATGCAAAAGTGCGAAGTCTGGATCTAATTTCTTCAGACAAAACCAAGTTTTCTGCAACATCCTCACAATTGAGTGGAACGAGGCTATATTGAGAGGTTTTGAATCTTCTCACAAGCCGCGGGGTATTTTTTGTATCTTATGGCGTGTTTAAAAAAATCTTCACAGCAACAAATCCCAACACCCTAAGAATAGAAGGCCATGCAGACAATAGGGAAGGAAAGGAGGAAGGAAGGAAGAGAAATCTGCCTTCCAAAACAAAGCCATGTGTAAGCTCCAAGAGATAAACAGCCAAGTAAAATAATCTTTCCAGAAGAGGGCAGAGAAACAAGGGAGGGGGAGCTGGAAGGAAGGAGGATATAATCACACCTTCCCTTCACAAACTGTAATTAGAAGAAATACAAACTGGCTGGATCTCTTGCAGGAGATCTCCTGGGCTCACCTAGGCATGTTTTACTAATCAAACTCCTCTCAGCCTCTCCCCCAACAACTGCCCCCCTCCCCCCGCCACCCTTCCTTCCCCCCCCCCCCAATTTTCCCCTTCCTCTCCCCCCCCCAACTCCTCCCCTTCACCTCTCTCTCCTGCAAACAAAATTCTAAAGTAAAATGAATTTCCACAGCAAAATAGTTGCAGATGTTCGACTTCAGAATACACCCCTGGATCAAGAGCTGGTCACTTGATACACAGGGCTGGAACAGAGGCGGGTTCAAATGGCTCTGCTCTGTGGCCTTTTCACCTTAATAGTACCCAATGCTCTAAGTTTCCTTGATACCTCTGAACTCATTAGACAAAGAACACTAAACTGCTTGCTGGTTAGACTGGCAGAAAACAAAAGGAATCCCGTCACCCAACCTTACTCCTAATTCTGAAAAAGTCTCACTCAACAACTCGTCTGCATTTTCCTTTCAATTCCAGAAAATTAATTTTAAGTGTACCCTGTGATGAAATAAGTGTAATTATGTTCTAAAACAATGAGTAGCTCAAAATGTGAGGAACTTAGAATACTCTCCTCTTAAGCTTTCAGATGATCACAATATGCAATTTATTCTTACTTTCTCCCAATATAAATCGCACTATTAAATTAAAAGGGGAGAATTCTTCTACCAAATTACACACTAATGGCTCTTAACCCATAATTAAAGTATCACTAACAGCAGCTTAAAGCCACGGCCAACCATGAGCACATTTATTAGGACCTATGTTTTCAGCACCACGTAATTATGTAAATAGAACCGTCAGCCATCTTGAGAAAAATCAATGGTCTAACCAGTTCTCTACTCCCTTGGGAAAACACTCTTTGTGAAGTGGCATTACACAGGGCCTCCTCCTCTGCACAATCAGAAAAAAAGTAAAGCAAACCTAAGTGCCAGAGCAGCAAGGAGAACAAATTCCAACAAGGCTGGTCACCTAGAGTTCTCATTACTCTCTTTCCTGACATCACAACAGCCTGGGAATCTAGACCAGCAACTGGCTTCAAGGCAATGAGGACTCCAGGACAGGCTCACTGTGCACTGTAATCTCAGATGTCCCCTGCCACCCCATGCTGGAAGGGTCCCCAAGACCGAGCACAGTCCCTATCACTGACAAGCTAATAACTAAGGAGACAAGACATAAAATGATCGTGGAGAGGCAGTAATGCTACAGAAAAATTAGAGACTAAAGAAAACCACTCAGTCCTCACAACAACTCATTTCTGCTACAAACTTTCTGAATCAACTTGAACAGACAATTTACTTCTCTGGGCCTTGGTTTCCTTGGGGGGCGGGGGGGCGGGGAGTCAAATGTCTAAGATCTACCTAAGGTCCTGTACAGCTCTACAATAATTAGATAATTAGAGAATACAAGATGTATATATAATGAAGTATTAAATTATACAGTAGTGACTACACTGCTATCGGAGAGATTTCATGGGGTTTTTTTCAGTCAGCCACTTTCTGGGAGCCAAATCAGGCACCGTGGCAGGATTCCAGGATCCAGTGGTGACCAAGGCAGAATGCCCTGCCTCCAGGAGGCTTTCAGCCTACTGGCGGAGTATGCTCAGGAGTTCACAGGGGAAAAATGAAGGCTGAGGTTGGCCCATGACCTTTTCATGAAGATAGAGGCAAAACTGGGGTTCAAATGGGTATAACATGAACATGCAGTATGGTCATGAACGATGAGCTGGTTGACTGTTGGGGGTTGTGGTAATAAACCATGAGGTTTTTTGAACAGACTCATTAACACAAGCAGAGTTCTGCTAATTTGCTCATTACCAATGAAAGTGATGGGTTTCCAGAAATTAGCCAAACTGAGATTCTTTCTGACCTTTGCCAATCTCCTTCTCCTACCCAATGGATCCCACCCCAAGCTTATTTACAGTTAATTTTTTCCTTTATTTTCTTTTTCAATTATGCTTACAGACTAGTATGGGGAAAGTCCGATGCCAGAGAGCAGTCACCAAGCAGAGTCCGTATCTGAACCATTTAGAGTTGCTCTAAATGTAGGACTTTAGGAAGGTCTTGTATGCTGCAAGATAACTGGCTTAAAAAGATCTATTTGTGTATATGTTGCCAGAGAGGCTGAAGAATGACAGTGCAGACACATGGTTTATTTGGCAGAGTAGAGCTGTGAACAACAGAACCAGGGAATATGGTATAACTAACCTGGAGAGTAAGAATAACCATCAACATCTTCATTGTTAAAACTAAAACTTCAGATAATTAAATTGTCCCTTATTCTTAAAGAGATGTAAATAAAGCCTGCCTGTGCTCTAAGTGAAATTAAATGCTGCCTACCAACTGTACATTCCATTTTCCAAATAACTTCCCTGGAATGCTGGTGAGCTGCTATGCTTAATACGAATACTTCCAGAGTACTGGATTTAAAGAAACAGTAATGGTTCCAACTTTTCTTACCAAAAAAAAAAAAAAAAAAAAAAAAAAAAATTCCCATCTGAGATTTATGCCCATCCTCAAAACAGCCCTTTGAGTTCAGAACAGATGTGTGCAGTGTTTATACTAAGAAAACCACCAGGGCATAAACAACCCACTAAAAACACCACTCAAGTTTTGCTGTGCTTTTCTTCATTTCCTGTGTATTTATTTTGGTGTTAAAATAATGTTAACTTTCATAGCAAGGAAAAGAGCAGCAGATGTTTAAACCAAACAGACTACGGCAAATCATCCTACAATCTACTCAACTTTCAAAATCAAAGTTTCTTCTGCCAAATAAAGAGGGAGACTACAAAGCAGACTACTCTCAAGTATATTACAGACTACAAAACAACAAATCAACCTGGACGAGCTTTCCATAAGCTTTTCCTCACCACTCCGCAACTGGAAACATAAAAAATTAATGTGGTATCAATTTCCTTGCAGTCTGTCTATTCCTCAGTTAGGCTGATAATTACGTTTTGTTTTGTTTTGTTTTGAAAAATATCATATTACACAATGACAAAGACAAGCCAACAGATATTGCCTTAAAAGTCTGTGATTTCTTATTCAGTGAAGAAAGAAATGTTTTTTAAAATTGCAGTATGTTAATTTCACAAGAAACAAGCCCAGTTACTTGCTGCTGCCCAGTCACCATCCTGAAGAAGTCTGCCTTTAAGATGAGTGACTTCAGAAGATGATATACTTAAAGCAGCAGATTCAAAGAAAGCCATCCACCATAATTCTCATCAGTGAAACAAGCAGGAGTTTAAAAAATATATATACCTTAAAAAAAAAAAAATCTTAAGTATGAAATCCTTATCCAGAGTTTAAAAAACAAAAAAACAGTATGAATGAGATTTCATTTTCCTTGAAGGGGAAAGGGTAAGTTTCCAATTGATTAGGCAACAGGCCTGAAATTTTACATGCAAGTTACTTCAATGTTTTCTTTTTCAAAAGAAACGTTCAGTTCACTATTAAGAGAAAACATGGAAACTGGTTCTACTGAATCAGAAAGGAGATGTCTCCTCCTCGATTTGTATGTGGTTACAACAAAAAACACTCCTCCTGCCAAGCTAAATTCCCCCAGAGATGCCTCTCCAGCCACTCAAACCCAGGCCATTACCACTTTTTCAAATTGCACGTAGATAATGTTTCCAACAGATTAAGAAGTTGCTTTTTCTCTTCTTACTACTAACAGACAGTTTGAAATGCTACAAGGCAGTGGAGAAACACCTCCCGGTTATAGCAGGAGGTAATAATAAGAATTCAGAGTAGGTTCCTTTCTTTCTTTTTTTCGTTCTTCCTTTCAATTTAGCTTTCTCGTTGGTGTGTTGTGCAATCACTTCCACAAGGGACCGGAGTGTGGAGGGAACATCCTTCAATGTCAGAACTCTCTCAGAGCTGTACAGGAAATGGGAAATCAGACAAAGAGCCAGCCTGTGCTTTGTGACATGGGTGCCCTTTCAGTCCCCCAAACTGAATAGAAAAATTCTTCATTGTTTGGGACAATCGCTCCTGAAAACAAAAACTCACTGTAACTTTCTGTTCCCCTCTACATGAAAATCCCAAGTACTGATTGGAATACAACATGAATACTGTAGATAGTGCATGTTTAAAATAAGTATCAGAGCGGGGGGCGGGGGGCAGAACAACATGTTTAACTTTTCCTGGTCCTAGAAGTTCTTCCTCTAAAGAGAACACCAACAGAATTTAAAAATAATCATATTATCAAGAGTTAAAAATGTGAAGAGTTAATATGTTGCAAGCAAAAAGGAAACTTTTTAACAGTTTATATTTCACTGCCTTCCCTCCCCCACTGTAACCCTGAAGGCTAAGATACAAACAACAAACTTTGTACTGAAAATAGTACATAATCAACATTAGCCTTTCAAAGCACCCTGAAATCTCAAGAAAGAGAACAAAATACACAGAAGGCATTCAGAACCCTAAAGGAGGAGTGGCCTTGACAAAAGCAAGAGAAGAGCAATTTCTAGAACGGAACCTCTACCTTCGTAGCAGAGAATGCCGATATTGTTGTTCATCTTGTCCAAGTACTGGTAGTTCAACAGGTCCATCTTCATAAATAGCATTTATTGGGCTCACACAGAAAACCAGCTCTTTGCTTTTGCCCCAAAAGAGTACGTTTCAAAAAATCAATTATTACTGAGTAGCTCCTGGCTCTTCTCAAACTTCACAAAGACTGTGAGGCCCAGCCTCAGATGATCAAAACAAAGTATGTAAAAGTTAAAAAAAAAAAAAAAAGAAAGAAAGAAAGAAAAAGAAAAAGGAAAAAAAAAAAAAACCCACACACGAAAAATCAAACTCACACAAAAACCCTTCAAGGGCTTATTTGTAGACGGTGTATGTTTTGTATCCTCAATCGAGCACTTAAAAACGTTTCAGAAGTCTTTACGAATCTTTCTTGGAAATAAAAAAGGAGTGAAAAAAGCAAAACACGAAGCACATTTCCTAGGACAAAGCCGCGCTCGCTTTCCTCACAGCCCGCTGCAAGTTAACTGCGCTGACATGCTGGCTATGCCTGGTATGACTCGTATGTAAACGAGCTTCCTCTTCCCAGCGGGAGGGAGCACGGAGCATGCTCACTGAATCCCTGGAGCTCTTCAAATGTCAGGGATATTTTCTGCACAAGATCAGTCTCTAAATGTATTAAGTGTTTGAAAGAAAGAGAAAGAGGAGGTGGAGAGTCTGTGCAGAGGGTCTGCGACAGAGCTGCTCTCGACAGGAAACAGCCTTGCCACTGCAGAACCGTAGGAGGAGAAAAAAAAACCCAGGAAGTTTCTTTTTCGGAAGCTGAGTAAAAAGTAAAAAATCCATCATGGAAGCAAACTTCCATAGAATTTAACTTTTTGGTGTATCTTTGCTGTCAGGGTCCAGAAACACACACTGTTTTTTGCTGTGGTACATACACCGCACATCTATGTAAGGTTTCTTTTTTCTTTCTTTTAAAAATTGTTTCATAAGGTCCATTTATACTTGAACTGTGTATTTCAAATTTTGATGTTAATGTTACATATATCTTCTCTCATAATCTTCATGACAACTCACATGAACAGGGCAGAGACGGTATCATCTTTTTACAACAGGGGGATTAAATGACTGGCCCAGGACCCCAAAACAGTCAGTAGAACTACTTTTGGGGTATTTTCCACCCTAACAACTTTTCAAAACAACAACAACAACAAAACCAGGAGGGAGAAAAGAGAAAACAGAAAGAGAAGTTTAAGCAAGTAATAAAAGTATATCCAAAACCAAATGCCTATTTGAAATGATAGGGTGTGGGGGAGAATAAAAATATTTTCACTTTGCATGTGTGAAAGCTGTTCCATCTATGTATTAATGGTTAGTAGTATGCTGCTGTGCTGTTCCTATCCTGTTCCTTTAAGAGCCTTAAACTGCATATCTCCAGTATCTAGCACAAGTAGGCACCCAAAAGCTGTTTACTGAATGAGTAAATCACTGAATGTTCAGAGCCTTTAGCACATGAAGAGCACTCTAGCAAACAGAGGGGAAAAATCATTTTATCTTTGCAGACTGTAGCTAGCTTTTGGCACCATAAATAGACTAATAATTCACCACAGGAAGTGTTTGTATATTGGTATTACTGTATGCTATTGGGAGATCTAGAAAATATTAAGCAGGGGCATAGAGTAGACCAAGACCTGAAATTTTAATACTCTCAAGTAAAAGTTGAACAAATAATTTCAAGGAATTCGATTTCTAAAATCCAGCAATAATTGCACTTCAGATGTTAGACATTCGTGGCAAGTTGTTCTAATCATATCTTATTAGGAGATTAATAAAACACCCAATACCACCACCATTACTGGATAGGAGCAGGTGAAGCAGACAACTCAAGATTTCACGAGCTTTAATTTATAAGGGTATTAACACTAGGTTATGTATTCTGGATACTGAATAAGCTATACTGAAAGACATATATACCATCAACCATAATTAAAATAATAGTATTTGGCAGGGAGGGTCAGAAGAAGCTCTGATAGCATCTATGATACACTAGATTATTACATCTCAAACAATCTTAATATTTTTAAGCACCACATTCAAATTCAAATGATAGTTTTAGCATATAATTACTGTGCTGTTCTTTGACATCAGGTCTCAATCAGAAAACATGATGAGTCATTAGCATGTCCCCTATGGGAGAAAGTTGGCTGCACGTTAGAATCAACGTGAACTTTTTAAAAATCCTGATGCTGAGGTGGCATCAAACTAATCCAAGGAGGTGGGACCCAGGATCAGCATCATTTTTAGAGTCTGAGGTGATTCTAAAACGCAGTCAAGGTTGAAAACCCTTGTTTTTATCAAAGAGGAAAAAAAATTACCTCCCTTAAGATACTTCATTTTATTTTGAGGAGGAGAGTTTTCTATTTTAAAATATAGTGATTTAGGGGCTCCTGGGTGGCTCAGTGGGTTAAGCCTCTGCCTTCGGCTCAGGTCATGATCTCAGGGTCCTGCGATCAAGCCCCGCATCAGGCTCTCTGCTCAGCGGGGAGCCTCCTTCCCCCTCTCCCTCTGCCTGCCCCTCTGCCTTCCTCTCTGCCTACTTGTGATCTCTATCAAATAAGTAAATAAAATCTTAAAAAATATATATATAGTGATTTAGGGGCACCTGGGTGGCTCATTGGATTAAACCTCTACCTTCGGCTCAGGTCATGATCTCGGGGTCCTGGGATCAAGTCCGACATCGGGCTCTCTGCTCGGCAGGGAGCCCGTTTCCTCCTCTCTCTGTCTCTGCCTGCCTCTCCACCTACTTGTGATCTCTCTCTCTCTCTCTGTCAAATAAATAAATAAATAATCTTTAAAAATAAATAAATAAAATATAGTGATTTAGGGGTGACTGGGTGGCTCAGTTAGGCGTGTGCCTTCCACTCAGGTCACAATCCTAGAGTCCTGGGATCAAGCCCCAAGTCTGGCTCCCTGATCAGCGTGAATGCTGCTTCTCCCTCTGTGCCTCCTCTTGCTCATGCTCTCTTTCTCCTCCCAAGTAAATAAATAAAATCTTTTAAATAATATAACATAATATACAACTAATATAATATAATATAATATAATATAATATAATATAATATAATATAATATAAGTGACTTAGCCAGATTCAAACAGTACAGCTGTCAAGGAAGGTATGAGTACTTTATAAGTTCCCCAAAATGATGCTGTGTCACTTGCAATGTGCTTGCAATGTGGCCTCTGTGTGGCCATTATCTGTGTGGACAGTCCCAGAGGTGTATACTTTGACTTGCATTTACAGCCATCAGTGGCAAAATTCCCAGCATCCAGGCCCATGGATGGGTTCTAGAACTGGTTGCTACTATCCATAAGAGATAGATACGGAAATGGAGAGTGAACATTTCGAAACTTTCAAAGCAGTTTGACAGAGCAATTTAATGCCTCTTTATTTAAGATTTAATTTAAATCTTAATTTTAAAAAATGAGGGTTTATTTTTTCATAGTTTTAGTTACTGAGTTTTATTGCATTTTATAAAAGCTGGCAGAAAAAAACCAAAACACAGAAAACCTGCTTCCCCCGTCCTCCCCAGGCAGTCTGAGCAGCCTGGCGCTGGCAGCTGGCTAGTTACAAAGGTGGACTGCAGTGCAGTGACCTCCCTCGATGCGTCCATTCCCAGCTCCTCGCAAGTCTTTCACCTCATGCTTCAAGCACACCGAATCACACATTTTAATACCGCATTATTTCACTCTTCGGTGCATATGCTCTCTTCATGCTGACTTTTCCAGCCTGTCTACTCAGCAAACACCCATTCTCCCCTCAAGACTCGGCATACGCCTCTTGTGTCCTGTGGGACCCCCCCCACCATCCTTCCACCTTCTTGCTCCCTGTTCTCCGTTATTGTGTTTCCAGATACACACCTCAATCCTGAATGCATCTAGACTTGAAGAGCAAGGACTATGGACTCCTCACTTCTTCAAGGTCAGTCTGGCATTAGCCTGGTACAAGGTAGGCCAATCAGCGAATATCTGTTGGATAAAATCAGTAAGATTAAAACACCTCACAGGGGGAGTGTCTGGGTGGCTCAGTTGGTTAAGCAGTTGACTTCCGCTCAGGTCATGATCCCAGGGTTGTGGGATCGAGTCCTGCATCAGGATTCTTGCTTAGTGGGGAGTCTGCTTCTCCCTCTGCCCTTCACCTGGCTCGTGCTTTCCCTAGCTCTCTCTCAAATAAATAAATAAAATCCTTTAAAAAAAAGATATTTTAAAAATTAAGTGATTCTGCATCTGCCAAATTAATAACAAAAAGACTTTTCAATCTTATTTATGTGCTGGTGAGGTGAGATCCTAGTAGACTCTGTGTTTACTCCTAGTGAAGTGTAAACAGATAATGCCTTTCTACAAAGCAGTCTGACATTCATATCAAGCTATTTGTGGTGTTGAAAATGTACATACTGAGGGGTGTGGAACGTTTGTATTCCCTTCTTTGCATCAGACTCTACTTCTAGAAGTCTGTCTCAAGGAAATACTAAGATTTGATCAAAGCGTTACATAAAGATGCTTACCACCCTTTTACATACAATGCTGAAAACTTGAAAATCTAAAGTCCAAAGAGACTACATTTAAACTACAGTATATAGGGGCACCTGGGTGGCTCAGTCAGCTAAGCATCTGACTCTTGATCTTAGCTCAGGTCATGATCTCAGGGTTCTGAGATGGAGGCCCATGTCGGGCTCCATGCTGAGCATGGAGCCTGCTTAAGATTCTCTCTCTCCCTCTCCGCCCAACCCCCACCCCCCACTCAGCTCTCTCTGTTGCTCTCTAAAAAACAGTAACAACAACAACAAAAACATATAGTATATTGACAGATACAGAATATTATGCTATAGTATATTATGCAGCTGTTAAAATTCCTTCAAAATTATTACAACATGAGGAAAGGCTATACTATGATCTGTATGATAATAGTACTACATGTTAGCTGAATATAATCAAAATAGGATGTAAAAGTAATATGTACACAATATACCAGTTTTGCTTCTATATTAATGAGACAGACACATATATAGGAAAAAAGTATACATATGTATTAAAAACATAATAAAAAATACCAAAACGACAGTGTCTATCTTTGAGGAGTGGGCATTTTGACATTTTTCTGTATTTCTAATTAAACTACAAATATACATATATTTCATATATAATCAAGGTGAGGGTGAGGAAGGTTCCCCACTTATTAAAAAGCAAGCGCATAATGAGAAAACATGCCCTGGTAAGGCATGAGCAGTGGATC